GGAAAATTCGCCCACACACTCTGGAGTCTCTCCTCCCTGCCTCTAAGGCTTAGTCCCGACATCAACAAAAAGGCGATTTTTCACGCAATTCCAATTGCACTGCCACCACAATGCCCCCGTATATTGAGATTGCGCCTTTTTTTTCCGAGAACTGCCGATGATCGCACTTATAGCAGGGATGTCTTTTTGACCCGTAATACTGATTTGCCTTTAGACATATAAGCACAAAAAGGAGGTTAATGTTGTCTGTTCAGGCTGTACCTGTTGAAGCTAGTGAAGTGCTGCCTATATACAGCACGTCGTCTCGAAGAAACCTCACCATGGGCCCACAAGTGGCTGACTGGTCTCACAATGTAACTGGAAATAGTTTTCGCCCAGGCTGATACGAACGAGTAATTCGTTTAGCTGCTCATTTGTTTTTCTTCATCGATGTATCGGAGTCGATATTGACGAGACACAATATTTGATTGAGAGATTCGAGTGCCTCACATCTCTTGTATAACCGGTTTTTACCTTTATCCTATTATCATTATGTAAGTATAATTGTATGCAATTATTGGTTTTAGACCGCGAACTTATTAAGTGATTAGGTTTTAATTCCTAGTACTCATTTCTTTTTTTTGTTTCACTATAACTCGGGTTTGTTATTAGAGTCCGCTGTTAGGAATCTTTTAAAGACATCAGCATACATCAGTATCGTACTGCCTGAAGTAATTGTAATTACCTAGTCACGCAATTGTATCAGTTGGTAGTGTTACAGGCGGATAGGTATACCCATCGTTGTTTGGTCGCTGTGGCGTCGATGTCGGCCACTTAAGGATACTCGTATTTTTTATATGGAACTGCTATTTAAGCCCGGTCTTCACCAAAATCATCATGAATGAAAATAAAATCTCAACCAGACGTGTGTTTAATTGTCTGATATTCAATCAAGACTTTCAAACCGATGGTACCTAAAGGAGGATTTCACGATAAGGTCGAAAAAGTGCAAATTTACCAACTCTATAGACAGGCGGTCCCCCTAAGGATGAGGGATGATGCTCGTTTCGCAGCAAGGAGTATGTTCCCGGCGGCGCACCAGGATAATATCTGCGCCGCGGCACGCCCATCCCCTTGCGGTATAGCCTGAGAGGAGAGGCGGTCGTATGGCGCGATCACATTGGCATTAGAGCGGCTTCAGCAATTGATCGATTTGATAAGTTGGGTCTAGAAATCTCGCTGAGTCTCAAAGATCTAAAAAAGAGCGGATAGCTTCTGGCCTGATGCCAAGGCAAGAGGAACGGAACAGAATGTGTTGCGCGGACGAGTTGTCCGGCCACAGCAGGATGTGGTAATTACGGCCTGTGCGCTCCAATGCCAATGGGATCGCGCCATATGACGCACACCCCCTGGAGAGCCTGAAAGAGGTCAACCGTCCGTTGGACAAAGTCCAACGGGGGGGGGTCGTATTTGGCCGACGCTAGAGGGGGGTCGTATTCGCAGGAGTCAACGTTGCAGTACGAAGAGGTTTTTGGGTGTAGATGACGAGAGGTGGTTTTCGCTATAAGGAACCTAATGTGTGTTGTGATGAAGCTCGCAGCTGTTGGCTCTTGCTGGGACCATCGAACGATTAGAATCAAGACGTTAGTTCTCGCGACAGTAGGGGAGAGGTAAAACTTTTGAGTGCTTCTTCAACTATTGAAGCACAAACGAGTGCATGGCGCACATCAGAGCAGAAGAGTCTACTGCGAAAGTATCCATCTTTGACTGTGCACGTCACAGACGGTGAGGTTGCACAAATCATCGGAGAAGTGCGCTGACTCAAGTCTCAGGTTCCTGGCGCCCTAACCACGAGCTTCTCGGTCTCGAAACTGGCCCTTCCCCTGCAGCTGTGGACACGGGAACCTTACTCGTGGGAGGGATTGGTCTAATTGTATGGTCTGGTGTGTGCCTGCAGAAATCCTTCGGTCCGTTTTTTTTCGTTCGTTTTCTTTTTTTCTGCAGGAAAAAGTTCTACCTTTCACCCATCATTTCGCTTCTGACTATTCCATTGTGTAAAAAGATATCTTTATTTCTTTGAAATTTGAAGGACTTCTTCGCGATTGTTCAGTTGCCGCAATATTTTCCTCCATTTATGCTGAAATCAGTTTTTCAAGGATGTATTGGTAAATACGTAATAACTTCGTATAGCATACATATTCACTCTGCACTGGAGATGAGCGCCTGTACAGCCCCGACATTAGTCAGCAGTGACGGCAAGTCTGCTCCATAGAAGGAACATGCCTGGCCACCAGCAATTGTCTGGCAAACGGTATTACTTCAAAGATGTCCTTTCCGACGTGTGCGCTTTGCAGCGTAAATAAACTTATACTTATACTTATGTCCTCATCGTTTTATGTTTTGCAAATTGGACACTTTTCATTTGGGTAACGGTTTTTTACACTGCAGATATTCCGGCGATCGTACGGTGGTGTGTGTCGTTAGGTCCCAGCGCGGCTACCTACGTTTTACGACTTTTGTACGCGGCGAAGTTGAGCGGCAATCGATTCAACTGGCACCCTTTTCACTCACGTCGGCCTTCGTTCAGGAACGTGCAATCTAGTCGCGAATGCATACCCGGTTCCCAATTTTTGAGTGGGAACCTCAAATCGCCCAAAAGACCCCAGGGCAGCGCGGATAAGTTTGCGTATCACCGCGTCGTGACCTAATGACACACATCCGGTACGATGAATCGCGACACAATGGGTGAATTGTGACTTCATACGAACCGTGGCTGCTAAATATCACCCAGTGACGATGGGATGGCGTTTCTGAGGAGGATACGTAGAGTGGTACACATTGGCAACCCCCCCCCCCAGCCGCTCACTTTTCTCCACTCTCTTCCGTTTTGGGAGTACTTCCTCACAAGTAAGTGGCTGATACCCGTGAACGATTAGCCAAATGCAGTATTCTAATGCGGGTACCAATTTAGGGTACCCGACAGGAGGCCCACGCACGGCGAGAAGGCCGAGACGCAGACAGATCAGCGGACGAGTCGCAGCGCGTACTGTAGTGATTTCGCGTCAATAGAATGTACTATAGTACGTCCCACATCACACAGCACGCGCTGCGACTCGTCCGCTGACCCGTCTGCGTCTCTGCCTTCTCGCCGCGCGACGGGCCTCCTGTCGGGTACCCGCCACTTCAAGGGCGATTGAACGCCCAGGAATAAGGGCTGCCCAAAAATACATGAACAGCTTGCGAATTCGCCGGGTTTCACCGGAACCAGTTTGGCACCATACTTATACCGTATCCCTGTTCGTGAGTACCGTTTCTATGCGCGATAATTGAGAAACAGTAACCTATTGTTTTCAGGAACCTCAATATCCATTGTCAAAAAGCATCACAAACCTGCATTGCGGGCAGATCCGTGACCAGCGGACCATAGCCAACAGTTACGATACCGTAGTCACCGTTCTGTAGTATTTGTTGAGCAACTGTCTGGGGTTGATCGGTGAAGCTGAACAAATTGAGTTTATACACATGAAAAAGCATGCGAAATACTTGTAATACTAGTTATAACAACAGCTCTGAGCCTACCCCTCTTCCTCCTAACACTGGATGTCCTGGTGAAGGGCTCATGGAAGGACCACTGAACCATCCTCTACGCTGACGACATCGTGATAGCGGATAGCAGAGAAGAACTTCAGGCCAAGGTGCAGAAATGGCAGAAAGTCCTGGCAGAAGGTGGGCTCCGGCTGAATGTCAAGAAGACCAAGTTCCTGAGCTCTGAAGAGGGTGCAGAGCCGATCGTGGACGGCCATGGTGAGACCATCGAAAGAGTGGAGGACTTCCGATACCTTGGGAGCGATCTGGCAGCCGACGGTAGTGTGGATCAGGCAGTGAAGGCTCGGGTCAACGCGCATGGATGAAATGGAGGGAGTCCACTGGAATCCTCTGCGATCGAAGGTGCTCCAGAACGCTCAAAGGGAAGGTGTACCGGACAGTGGTAAGGCCTGCGATGCTATACGGCAGCGAGTGCTGAACAGAAACAAGAACCATCGGCTGAAATGATGATGCTGAGATGAGCCTGCAGCTGGACGCGACTGGAGAGGGTC